TAAGAAAATATAGGCAATTCTATCCTAGCACCATTATTTTATATAACAGACCTAAACCACACTTCTATCCATCACCTATTCTCATGTCAAGATCTTGCTACCTTTAAGCGCTTAAGAAATGAAACTTCTGAGATTCCTTGGGGAGGTAAATTCATGTTCAAAATCCACTTACTCCAGTGGCACTCTGCATTCTGTCACTGCTGCTGGGCAGGGATTGTCACCGCAAAGCGCTGGAAGCTGCTCTTTGCGCCTGCAGAACACTGGAGGTCAGTCCAGCACTGCTCGAGGAACCAGAGATTCCTCCAGAGACAGACACCGAGTGGAGCTGGTGAAATACAACTCGCTGTGTGCCTGAACAGCTCTCAGCCGCCTCGGATTTATTCTGTTTTCCTGAAATTGCACATTTGAACTCAAGCCAAATACGTAAAAAAAAAAAAAATATTGTTTAAAAAAAAAAAAAAAAAAAAAAAAAAAAAAAAAAAAAGTAAGATTTTTCTTAGTTCTGCTAGGAAAGAAAGGCTCCTAAATTGAGACCACTGAAGTCAGACCGTGCAAGCCGTGAGCCAGCAGCACGGAGCGGGGTCCGGCTGCAGCGGCGCAGGATGTCGCGGGTGTCCCAGCGCTCGCTCGGGCTCTGCGCTTCCACCTCCATCACTCCAGCTACTTATAGTAATAAAACAAAAGCTCTGAGTATACAAATAAAAAGTCGAGGAAAATTATTAATTTTACCCATTGCAATACAAGTAAAAAGTCAAATTTAATTTATATTATACTACTGATGGCATAATTAATTGTTGCTAGGGTAAAAAAAAAAATACCTACAGCGAATTAAATTACATATAAAGGTCATATGATAGAGGCCTTTCGAGATTTTGCAATAATTGAAAGAAGTAGTACAACCAGGAAAAATATTAACGCCACTGGCAGCTAATGCAACACTTAATGGCTGCTGTCTCCTGCAGGAGCTCCTGGCTGCCTCCGCCTGTCAGGCTCCGTGCGCAGGTTTATCTCGAGGAGCGGACACGGTCTCTGTTTCGGGCTCGGAGCCTCCCAGGCCCAGCCGGGATTTTCCCCGAGCCGCTCCCGCCGAGCCGCGGCCGCCATTGCCGCAGGGGCGGGGCCGGGCCCGCGGCGCCCATTGGCTGCGAGCGGGGGGGCGGGGCCTGCGGCGGGCGGAACGCCCTATAAGGGTGCAGCGCGGGGAGCCGCTGAGCAGCAGCAGCGATGGCCGAGTGGTTAAGGCGTTGGACTTGAAATCCAATGGGGTCTCCCCGCGCAGGTTCGAACCCTGCTCGCTGCGGGCCGGAGCGGTTTCCGTTTTTGCTTCTTTCTGCCCCCTCCTGCTCCGTGCCGCGCACGGGTTTTGCTCCTCACGGCTGCGCCGCGCCCAGAGCCATCGTCCGGGACCGCGGCACGGAGGGGGCGGCAGCTCCTGCTCATTGCCTCTTGTCGTTGCTGGGCACCACCGAGCAGAGCCTGGCTCCACCTTCCTAACCCCCTTTGGCTATTTGTACTCATTGAAGGGGTCCCCTCTCAGTCATCTTTGTGGCACCGAGTAGGCCCAGCTCCCTCAGCCTTTCCTCATGACATGCTCCAGTCTCCCATCATCTTTGTTGCCCTATGACATTGGTGCTACCACAGCTCATGAGGCCGTGCCTACCTGCTCCTCCCCTGGTCCTGCCAAAGGAAGTGTAGTGCTGAAGCTGCAGCAGGTCCCAGGGCAAGGTTCTGGCATTGCACCTCCAAGCAGTGGGTGGAGGTGAGAGAAGAGCACCTGGGCTTCAGTGCTCGTTCAACAGCTCAGCTCCCAGGCCCTGCAGACAGGACACATTGTCAGCTGCAAAGCTCAGGATTCACCCAATGCCGTACACACAAACAGTGTCCTGATTCACCCAAAGCTCTGCTGTTCTACCCCCACGTCCTACGGCTGATAGAAAATAAATTAAATCTTGTCAGCAGAAGGTTTCTCTATACGGAATGGATTTGCTCCATCAAACCTTGCCTTTCCTGAAGGAAGCTGGTCTGATTCCTCCTGGACCTCCAGTGAGGAGGGCCCTCAATCCTCTTTTCCTGCCTTTTATGACCTTCTGCACATGCATGATGCACATACACACACAATATGGTGTTGATGGTGAAAAAACCACAGAAGTTATTATGCCATTAATAACCAGGAAAAACAAAACAAGGCAGCATTCCCCAACCGTCTGTGATTAACTTAAACTGAGCTCTCACCACCCGGATGTGTCCGTGTCCTCCTTTGTGTGGCCCCAGCACCAACCAAGGGCTGAAAAAGTGGCAACTCTGCCAAAGGCAGGGGGAGCTGTGCACCGGACTGCAGTAAAATACCCAGCTAAACGAACTGATAATCATCTGCCATCTGACAGTGACACAGCCCAAAAACCTACGGACTGGCTTTATCTTTTGCTGTGTGACTTCATCAGCTTTACAACAGCCTCACTGCTTACACTTTCATATCCTGAAATAAGAGATGAGCCTGCTGGGAAGGTAAGATAGCAATGTTCATGCTCAGGAAATTAAAGATACACAGTATCTCTTTTAATAATCAGGATACTTGCTGCTATTATAGAACATATAAACTGCCTTTGTTAAAAATCTCATTTAAAGAGGAAAACAAACAATCAAGAAATGACCTTAACCTATCATTGAGCATTACTCAGCCTGAGATTCTAAGTCATATACTGTCTGTGTTTGTCGTCCAAACTAACTCTTGCACTGTCACTTGGCAAATGTTGGCAAAGCAGCTTCTCAAATACTGGCAAAACAAAAAGGTTGAGAATGTTTTGATAATCTTATATATTCTGCACTTGCACAAGTATAACAGCAGCAAATAAAGATAGAATCATTTTGTATAATTCTAAAGAACCTCCATGCTATTCAGTTTCACAGGCTAAGTAGTTGCTTAATTTCTGTTTAAAAATAGTTCAAGGGCCTAGGAACACAGCATTGAACAACGTCTCCTATACTCTGTATTTTATCATCATACACCTGAACCCCATCTGCTGTCTCATAACTTCCAGATGAAAACCCCTCAGCCTTCACAAGTCCAGTAGTGGCTGGGTTTTATCAACGCTTTTGTCTGGACCCCAGAGGATCTGGGCTCACCTCACAACTCTGTTTATTTTCATACCAAATCATTCAGAGCTTAACACAGCACACTGAATCAGAGCCCTCACGTACCCAAAACATTCAGGACCCTTTACTGCCCACCTAAGAAATTCCCAAGGGGAGCTCAAGAATAAAATAGGAGCTTACCATGTCTTCAGAGGGCTGCCCTCCTCCAACTTGAAACTCCCAGGCCCTAATCTAATAAATAGTGTCTGAGCTTGTTTCTCTTGTTCCCCACCCCCACAGACAACCCTTTGCTGCTGTTTCCACTTTGCAAAAAGTTAAAGATCTCAGTGGGCCCCTGAAAACCACAAACGTCTGACTCTGTTGCCTTAATCACACCTTCAGAGAGCCTGAGATCCACTGCACAACCCCTGCCACAGTTACAGTTCCAGCATGCGAATTACATTTGGTGCTCACCAGTGCAGGGGCTAAAGCACCCCATAACTGCTGCTGAAATATCAGGTGGGACATTCACTGGATCTTTTCACACTACTAGCAAAAAACTGCTAAAAGTACTGTATATTTAAAGAAGCAGATGAGCAGTTTATGCTTTGGGCTGTGGACACTGAGTGATCTAACACTGACTAAGCTGTCAGGTGCTTTCTTTACTTTCTAACACGAGGGAGAACTGGGTTGCCCACTGATTCCAGTTAGCTGTTGTTACTGGCCAACAGGTCAGGTGCCACCTGGTCTTGGGGAATAAAAAGCAGAAGAGGGTGCACAGGCTCCTCTTATTTTCAAATCAATCTGAGTTTGCTCTGCTAAGAATAGATTCATTCAACTCAAGAAATACAGAAAAACAGACCATTTCTCCATGTAAAGAGATGGGGGGAAAAAAGTTCGTATTGGTGGCATTGGTGTACTGGAGCACCAGTTAGAACCTGCCCTCCTCATGAGGACAAATACAAATTACAGGGCTGATCTTGAGCAGGTTGTTGCAAAACACAATTTCTGCCATGAGCTTTTACTGGGCTAAGAGCCTTCCAAATATCTGCAGTTATTCATCCAGAACAAACATCCAAAGGTTCTTTGCCAAAACCAACCACGCAATAATTGGCTAATAATGACATCAGTTTTAATGACACAAGCTATTAGTTCGCTGTTCAAAGGTCTATGGTATGTTCACTTCTCAAAGGAAACCAGCTCATTAGGTGCTAAATTATCCATCCAATTACCCCCTCTTACCTTTACCAGAAGTGAAATGGGCAGGGGAGAATTTGGGCTGCCATCTGACTCAAAGTGCTCCAGCTGGCTGCATCCCCATCTTTTTGTTAAAGGGAAAATTGTTCCCTATTACTTAGTATCCTTCACATACAGTAAAAGTTTCTTCTGTTACTACTGTTTAACATTGTTTACAGTCCCTCTATATAAAATGGACCAAAATCTTTCTTGAAAAAATACTTTTGTATGAAGTAAAGCAGCAAATGCACCAGAACAAACCAAACCAGTTACATTTAACAACTGTTACAGAAAATTATTAATCTCATCTTACAATGTTTTCAGCTGCAAAATATGCGAGGGAAAAGCATGTAAAATTAAAGATGATGTGCTCTAGAACTGGCCCTTGGTACCAATGCCATCCCTCCAGGGCCAGTGTGGCTGTATCAGCACAGCTCCAGCGCTCAGCTTTTACCAACTGGGACCAACAGCAGCTGCACTGCCAGCAGCCAGGAGGGACACAGTAACTCAGGCAGCACAGCCCAGCCCAGCCCCACACATCCCTCCAGGGAGAGACAGACATCAGACTGTTTCCATGTAACATGGCACTTGCCAGGTTACACTTTCCATTGCACTGCCTAGGATTCAGAACTGAACTCCTTAAGCTTTTACCCACTAAGATGACAAATAAAAAGAAATTGCAAAGGAATCTCTGTGGTGGGTGGAGGATTTAATTAAAAAGATGAAAGAAACCCCTTTTCTGTATGCATGAAGTTTTATTTGCTGCTGATGGAATTATCTGCCTGCACAAAACCACGTCAACACCTGACATATTAGCCAAGTTTGCAAAGAAGAAAACAAACACAAAATAAATAAACAACAATGTAGAATTTGAAAAGTTGCCCGAAGTATCAAAAACTTTTCATGTGAGATTTTGTACACATTAGTGTTGACTAGTCTGATTTTTCATTCCTCACCATACAAAACCCTGGTAAATCCATGTCTAGCACACCTGAGCATGGAGGGGAATTGCTATGAAGCAAGGACAAAGCTGGCACACATACACACGGGATCAGTTTTCCACCAATACATCTTAAGACAAAAATTGCTATCTGGAGAAGTTCTGAAACTGCCTTCCAAAACAAATAGCTGGTGCAAAAAGTGTTCTTGTTAAGGTAGAAGACAAGCGATTTTTAGGAGTGCTTGATCTGTCACAGACACCTTGGATAACAAGAACCTCCTAATTTCATCTATAACATAAAATCACAACTCTCCTACAAGTTAAGTTTGTAATGAGTAAGTGCAGTGAGTCCAATGCAATGGAGAAGTGAAGCAGAGCACAGAGTTAATAGATAAGCACAGCTCTATTTACACTTCATTGTCATAAAGCTTTTGGAAGATCCTCGCTGAGTAGGATACCCTGGAGCCCAGGGTTCTACTAAGAGTATGTTTTTTATAACATCACACTATTGAAAGAAATATTAATCACTACACAATATCTGAGAATACAAGATGTTAGATAACTTCACAACATCACTTTATATTAATATTGAAAAGGGTTTTTCTTATTGAGCAGACAAATCTCTATCTGTAACGCTCACAGCATGTGTGATAAATCAGTATTTAGACATTGACTAGAACAACACATTACAAAATACAAATAACTTTTAACTGCTGTTGAAAAACCCAAACTGAACACTGAACAGATGATCTCATGCTTCTGTGTGTTTCTCATTTTAGATCTCATAGTTTCTGAATTTCCTCAGAAGGTCTGATGGAGCATCGCCTGACCAGCGGAAACGCAAGTGCCAGTAATTCCCCTCTGAAAATTCTGAGGAAAAAAAAAAAGAGAAAGACCACTAAATTATTATAAACATGCACAAAATTAAATTTTCTGAAATAATACTTGATAATCTTGTCTAAAAAGAAGTAAGCAGGAAGGTGGTCACTTCCAGTGCTCTTGATTAGCACGGACAAATATGAGCACTGAGTTTTTGGCAGGTCGGAAGCAACCTTCAGCACAGGGATCAGCTGGGAAGGGTCCAAAGGAGAACAGCAAGGACCCTGGCAGTTCCTAAAGGGGACTCACAAAGGAAAATGACAAATTGCATTGGCCTAATCTAAGGAAGAAGATGGAGATGGTGATGTGATAAATCGGCAAGTAAGTGATCTGGGGCCTTTTAATACTAAAATGTGACCTGCCTTTTACAGCAAAACGGACCCTATGAGCAGAATTAGTGCTCAAATCTGTTGTTTGAGCTGAAATAGCCATGTAGGTGGCAGTCCAGAATTCATCCAGGCCAGCAGAGAGGAACAGACAAGGCCATAGTTTCGAAGTTGAACCCAAAACATAAATTTTTGCTGGATCAAAACAAAAAACATTATCAACATCCTAACACTGGGAATAAACACTGAAGTGCATACACTTCTGTCAAATATATTATAACATTAACATTTATTAATGTGAATATATGCCACTGGATAAATGAAGCAGGCACTTGATGAATTTGATGTTTTCCCAATCAAATATCTGGAAATTAAAGTAAAACTTAAAAAAAAAAAATTGAGAAAGAAGATGCCTGAAAAGAAAATTCACCTTCACAAGGAGCAAGATGATGTTTTCTTTACTTCAAAATTTTACTGTTCTGCAAAGGATATGGTGATGATTTAATTACGAAAAAAAAAAAAAGAGCAAATAGTATAAAGTTATAGAGCATAATTTTTCAAAATCAAGTTTTCAGTAAGGCCTGGCATACACTTCCTTGCAGAATTTTCTTATCAATTTTGTGCATTCCACAAATATTTGGGATTACATCAGGTTTTGCTACCCTCACAGTTCAGCCAAATTTCCTGTTTGATCAAACTGGGGAGAAATGACAGGATTTTGTTTAACAATAGTTCTGTGCTAACACAGGCCTAGGATTATGAAACTCCTGAAGCACAAGGCAGCACAGAGGGTGCCCATGGTGCTAAGGGAGCTTTGATCAGGTACAGTGACCTAAACCACAGCCAGGAAGAGCTGACTGGTAGGTGACACTTTTGAAACACACATTTATTCTGTGCATACACTCCTTGGAAAAAACAAAACTGTTTGAAGAAAGAAGCCTTCAAGTCTCAAGATCTTACTAACTCATCAGATGCAAACTGTGCAAAACTACTGAATAATGGATAAAAAAACCCCAAACCTAAATATTTTACTTAACAGCTCTAAAATTTATTTTAAAAAGTCACTGACAATAACTACCTTCTCTTTTTACTTTGCATTTTTATATATCAGAAAAAATAAACTTTCCATTTTGGTTGAAGCATTATTTTTCTCCTTCTTCTCCAGTTGCAGCTTTTACTAGCAAACAAACAAGGAAACGTGGGATAGGGAGGAAGGAGCATCTGAAAACTTCAAAACGAAATAAGTGATCAAAAGCATAAAACCCAAACCAAAATCCCAACCCAAACCCACATTTAAAAAGCTGTTCTGGAGAAGACTTTCTCATGACTGAAAGCACCCATTTCAGGCCAATCCCTGGATACTGCAATTTTCTGTAACTGCTGTTTTCACTTACTTGGGGAGTCTGGATTCTTTGAAGACTGTGGTTTCACATCAGGGATTGCAACATCATCTTGTTCTCTGCTCCCTTCCAGCAATCCATCCCCACTGTTTTCCATCTGTTGGGTCCACTCCTCCTTAGCTGTGTTGTTGGTGTTTCCCAAGTCAGGAGCTTCCAGCATTTGGTCCTTCTTACTTTGGACAGCCCAGTGCATTGACTACAGGAATGCAAACATAGCAAAGAACTAAGCCCTATGCTTTAAGGGTTTTCAATTACTTTTTTCTATTGCTGCAATAAATCTTTAAACAAAGAACATTGAGAAGCCTGCATTCAACAGGATAGGGGAAAGTATGGTTACATGTCCCAAACAGCATTGGAGAGGATACTTTATGTCAGGTGGAGGTGAAGAACAAAATGTACATTTGAATTTTAAGGGCCTTTTGTCCAGTTTCTTCTGTCATGAATTCAGACCTTTTTTTAGGAGGACTTGAGTGACTTCAGAAATGTTCATTTTCAAAGCTGTCTTTGACTTCAGAGAACCCTTTGAATGCAAGGCAATTTGAAAATATTTAATATCAAAGTCTGTGGAATAACATCTGTTTGGAACTGAACTAAGCCTAATTGGTTATTTCCACCAAACATTTAAGCTCAGGCATAATGCTGTAGTTGAAGTCACTCAAACTTCTCTCCTAAGCAAAATTCAGACGGGCAGAATTGACATAGGAAACTTTTATTCACCTGCCTTAAAATATGATCATGTAGCCCAATCCAACATGATGGAATTCAATTCTACTAGGGGCATGCTACCAAATCTTCTCAATAGCAAAATCAGGAGGGAAATCACCCCAAAACTCCTGCCTCTGTCCCAGATGACCCCACCAGCCTGGCAGGGCCCCTCCAAATCTCTGTGGGAAGCCCAGGGTTCCAAGGAACGATCTTCTAGATTTTTCCAATGACATCTTTATTTAATCAGACAGCATGAAAATCTATCTGATAAGCAATATACCAAGTGGAGAATAGATTATAAAAATATCCCAGCTTTAAGTTAACTTTGAAAAGAAATAAAAGTTTCCTCCTAAAGCAAAGTGAGCTGAACCATTTGAAAACAGCCCTTAACTTATTTAACTTGCTATAAAAGCAGTAACTCGATAAATTCACTCTAAAATTACCGGCCTAACGCCCTTGTGTGAATGGGCTCCTGAAGCCCTGCAATGTTCCTGAACCTCCTTACCATCCGCAGTGCAGGAATGCCTCTGCACCATTCCCATCCCCAGACCCTGTCAGTGCCGCAGAAGCCATCCCGCAGCTCGTCCCCTCCCTCTGGGCCACTTTCCGTCCCCGCCCTGCGGAGGGCCGGGCTCGGGCAGCACGGACCGTTCGGACGGAGCCGCGGAGCGCCTGCCACTGCTGGAACGGGACGAGGACTCTGCTCCGCCGCCACTGATCGTACCGCGCCCGGCTCTGCTCGTCCGTCAGAGTCTCCTTGGCCTGCTGCAGCCTCTGGAAGTGCTCCACTGGGACACAGACAAAAAGGACGAGGTTTGTTTGGCAAAGAAGTGAATTCAGGTGCGAAAGGGGACCTGCGAGCAGTGGCTCAGAACAAAGTAGAGGAGAAGGCAGAAGGAGAAGCAAGTGGCCCAGGGATGTGGCTCTGGTTCCAGCTGGCACAGTTCTGGCTGGCTTTAGGCACCTTTGGTGGACTGATACCCCTGCAAATCAGGACTGAAATGTTCCTTTGTCTACCAGCTTCAAAAGCTCCTAAACTTAAGTTGAGAGAAACTTAGAGAGTACACAGGTAAAAGGCACAAGTCAGACCCTGCAGACCGCCTTAAAAAGGGAAATCAGAGCAACAATGCTTAGAAGGAACACACTGAGAACAACATGCTTAGATCAACAGCAGCACAGGAGTCAGAGCAGAGAACAGCAGCAAGGAACATGAGCACGGAGAAAAAAAGATGAGCAGGAACTGACAAACATGAATAATAATCTACATATAGTGCAGATTGACTAATTTGTGCCTTTTATTAGGTGCATTTTTTAGGTATGCTAAAATGTTATCCAGACTGCATGAGTAAGAGCTCTCATGTTTCCCTACAGGGTAATTCTTCAGGGAATGGTTACTAAGGATGCAGCTGCATGTTACTATTTGTGGAAGGGTTATAAAGATTTAGACTTTATCTATGACTCACCTATGTAACAGTGATCTATTATTATTACTATTATTCATTTATTCCAGTTTACAAATTAGAGAGAGTTCTTTTGAAATACACTACACCCAAACACTAATCAAAATTGATAACAATACATCAAACAAGAGACAACAGGCTGTGGGAACAATTGTATTAGGTTTTCTTATTCTAATGTTACTAGGTTTTCTTATTCTAAAGTTACTAGTTTTCAACAAATAAAAAGTCTACTTTAATTATTCTTTATTAAGCTTTAAGCTGATGAAATAAAACACATAAAATAAACTCTCACTAGTACTGTAAAAAGGTATTTAAGGTAAATAAGGCATGTTCAGGTAAAGAGAGTATAACATTTCTTTGTGACAAGCAAAGCTGCTCTGATATTTGCCCCTTGGCTGCTCTTTTTTGTAGCTCAGCCTTGGTGAGCTCTGTCCAGGGCTCTCTGAGGTTATGAATGGGTAAAGATTGGCTCCAAATAACTCAGGTGCTGCTCAGCCCTCCCAGCTCTGAGGAGCTGCCCCCTCTCATGAACACAAACATCAGCTGCTGTTCTCATAGGGCTGCTTCTCTTCACTTCCAGCCATTAAATTACATTAAAAGAAACTACAGCACATTTATGTGTTTTTCATGGGCTTGTTCCTGGCAGTAAATCAACTTATTGATCTAAGTGGGGTGCTGAGACCCACTGAGTGTAGAAGTGCAACAACTCCATAGGTCTAGGAAGGGACACACTCCAGAAATAAATTCTGTATTAAAAGATGATCTACTGCGGAAAGAAAAAAGATTCAAGGTCCTAGAAATTTAAAAAAAAAAAAAAAATCGAACAAGTGTCTTCCTGCTTTATCACAGAGGAGTGTGCAAGTCTTAGAAAGAATATCACAGGCTTGCTATTTAAATAGAATGTGCCCAATGCATATGATGATTAAAATATATTGAGGGGAAATAAAATTTTAAGGCTGAATTTTGTATCTTGGATATGTTAATATAAGAAAAAAATAGATTGTTTTTACACAGGAAACAATACATACCTGCTTTGGGGTTTCCAGGATGTTTGTCAGGATGACATTCAAGGGCTTTAATCTTATATTCGGCAAGAATCTGTTCAACCTAAACAAAATATTGAGAAAAAGTGAGTTAATACAGAAAATACTGCAAATTTTCTTTTTGAAAGAGCCTGGGAGGAACAACAAAGAATACTGAAATATTTTGTTCCATTCAGCTTTACAAACTTGAGTACAAGCAAAGTAGGCAACAACAACCATCTGCCAGTGACACTGCTTATTTAATCTCATTTCCATGCAATCATCCTTAGTCTTGTCTTTGTGAGGCTCAGTCATCCAGTAATAGCTCTAGAAAAATGTGCAAAGACATTTGACCACAGAGGCAATATGCATCACTTCACTTGCTCTTTCTTTGTTTAATCAACTCCAACTTTCAACAGAGCCTCATAGCAAGAAGCAAAGGCTCTCTGTATTGCTGAAGATCAATTTGTGTGTTTAGGTGACTTCCTCCACATCCTCTTCATAGGAAATTCAGCCAGTACCCCATGAGGTTTCCATCTTGGAGAACACATCATAACTTGCTCCATAACCAGTAGTTCACATTCTTTCTTCAAGCTAATTTTGCATGCAAGAAGAATGGTTTGGAGTAGAATAGATTTATAATCAACATTAAAATATTGGTATGTATTAGTTTATCAGTTAATTGCAAATTCCCACACAGTTTGTTATATCATAAAGTATTACATCAACTGGAAAAACGAAGACATGTGGAGCCATGAAGCCACTGGAGTGGGCATCAGCTTAGATTTTTAAATCTTTAGTGTTTTTCCAAGTATCTTGCCAGTTCTTACAATTCAGAAGCCAAAACTCTTTATATTACTCCAGTTCAGCTTAAGCTTTCACAATTCGCCCTAAGGTATCAAAAATTACCATTCTTCCTCATACTACAAAGACTGTTTATAATTTGTCAAACCATAAAAGCCACATACAGTTTAAATTATTTATTTCAAAATAAGGTCTCATAACATTTTTTTATTTAGAATAAAACTACATTCAACTAGCTGGACAAATCTTGTTCCATATTCTGGGAAAAAATGTAGTTTATGGTAATAGCTTAAGAATTCTACAGTTTTCACTCTGCTTCAGTAGCTCCTTCGAGAGGGAAAGATGTAATGTGGTGTATCTGCAGTCAGTAAAACACTTTAAAACACACAAAGTGTAAAGAGAACTTGGTGAGACTGGTTACCATATAGCCAGCTACCATCTCAAAAACTTAGTTACTTCAAGGGGAACTTTAAAGTTAAAATGTGTACAGAGGGTTACAATGTAGCAGAAGGGTAGGATGAACGGTTTCAGCTAAAAAAAAAAAAAAAATCAGTACAAATAAAACTTTAAATGAAGTTTATACAACATACATTAAATTAATATAAAATACATAGTGAGGTGTTTTACAAAGAAAGGTATCCAATACCCACTAGACACAAACAGCATTGTTCTTGAAGAAGGATGGAGATTAAACCTCCCCTCTTCCTGTCACATCTGAAGATGAAGCAGGTGTTTGGGAGATCAGTTCTACCAGAAGCCAAGAATGAACTTGGTTTGTGTTTACTTGAATACAGCAATAAATCTGTAGAAACTGAGAGTATTTCTGCTTAAATTTAACCAGATCCAACCAAGAGCAGGATATTCAGCAGCTTAGCTGAAAATGCTGCAGCTGGGAGTGTGCCGTGCATGCCCAAAGCAGTCTGTGCCAAATGCTGGACTCCTGTACAAAGTAGTGAGGCTGCAAAATCCCTGGAACACTTAAATCCCTGTGAGAGCCCAGAAGAGCTGTGCAGGGCCTGAGGGGAGGCAATCCCGGGGCTCAGTCAGCCTGGGATCTCCAAGTTCTTTCTGCCATGTCAAAAAGAGTGCAGCAACATCTGCTGCTTCTCCCAACAAATAGTACTTGACAGCTTGTTTTTCAGGACCCGTTAGCATTTATTCCAGCTTTTTTATTTCATTTTCAAGCAATTTGAAAAATCATTATCACATGTACTTGAACTGTTCATTAATTGCAAAGCTCTTAAGGAATTAGTGCGAGGTAGAAAGTGAGAAGCAGCATCTGCGAAACAAGGCTGCGTGGAGCATTGAGCACTGCCCTCTGCTGGGATCACTTCTGGGAGTGTCCTCAGGAGAAGCTTGGCATTTCCCTCTGGGACACACTGAAGATGTTTACTCCCAGTCTTTATACTTCATTACTAGGACGGGTGAGAGCATCTGACTAAATTTACTGAGCAAAAGACAGCTTTTATCTCCACTTAATACATCCCTCTTACAGCAGAGTAATCAAAACTCCTTTTCCAAATCAGAAACATAATTCCAGTTAATATAACAGCTAAATTAAGGAGAGAATAAAAATAAAAAAAAAGAGAGAGAGAGAAAATCAGCATACTAGACTAGCTAACAAAAAGTTGTGCGGATACATTTAACACGATGCACACTTGTTTTAGCTGTAAATCACTCAAAAATAGCTTAGCTAAATCTCATTATAAAGCATCTATCTGCTAGCAAAACAAATTACTAAAATTAGTAATTGAATTTAATTAAAAACAGCATTTAAATATTAATATGGTAAATTATAAAAAGATATTGGTTTTGTTTTCATCTGAACAAGTGAATAGATTTTAAAAATATTACACTATGTATAAAGCCCAAGAAACTCAGCACCTAAAGCTATGAACTTTCATTGTGTTGCTCGTACATAAATAGCTCCTTTTCAGTTTTCAAAACTAGTAATATATACTCCAAACTATTATTTGGATGCTATCAAACACATGCAGTTGGCTCTCTCCATAATCCAGTCCTGTTCCGCATGGCATTTTCAACCTAAACCTTACTCCAGGCTCTTAATGTCAGAGAAACCACAGGAGAGAAAATTGAGCTCTCCAAGGGAGATCCTGCGAGTGGCAAGAAAGAAGGTGCACAAGGCATTTCGAATATTCCTGCCCGCAGAGACACAGCTGCAAATTCCCTACAGACACACGAGCGCGTTCACACGGGAAGAAGCTGGCGGGGCGGGAGAGGCTCTTACCGTCGATAGCTCATTGCATCCCAGCAAGTTGTAGTAATCCTCCAGGTCCTCCGGCTTGCAGCTCAGGATCGCATCCATGGGCGCTGGTCCAGCGGGTTTCTTGCAGGCGGCAGGGAGGCTGCGGAACCAAGTCGGAGCTCCCACAGCAATCCGGAGCGGCCAGGGGCAGGAGGCAGCTCGCAGTCCGGCGAGCTCCGAGCGGCGCCTCGGAGCGCCGGCAGCGGAGCCGGGGAGTTCCCCGCTGCCATTGGCCCCGCACGGTGCCAGCCCGCCCGCACACAGTGCTCTGGGCGCGGCTCCCTGGGATTTGTAGTTCCAGAGGCACTCCAGCCACAAACCCTGGCTCCCGTCCAGACCGCAGAGTTGTGGGCACTGAAACGTGGCAGAGATTTCTCTCTCCCGTCCCCTGGGCAGCCTCTGCAAACCAGGCACACACCGAGAGGCTGCTCTGCACCTGGGCCATTTTCTGTTCCATTTTTATTTACAACTTCTGCCACCTTCTTTGACCAGATGATTAGATGGGTAATTATAAAAGAGAGTAAGGATTACTTCCAAAATAACAATTACAGAGTGAAAACTTTGGAGAACAAAACACCAGCCTTGCCAAAGTCTGTCACAGGTCTGCCAGTCAGCTCAATACAAAGGGAGCAACCTTAACTCTCCGAAGGCCTCCTTGGTTTACACAGACACTACTCCTCAAAACCAAACTTACATCTGACCAACTAAAACTATCCGACAACATGAAACACTCACTTTCTACTATGAAATTAAACACCCTTTCTCATGCCAAATTACTATTGAAGGTCTGTACTGTGTGCAAAACATGCTCTTTGTGAAACTCACATTGAGGTGAAATACCTTAATTTTAAGCTATGATTAATGACCAAGGCCTCAGCACAACAGCGACTCTGGACACCTTTGGTGTCACCCATGATCTGTTGATTTCAGAAGATTACTTCCTAACCTAACCACATGCTGAAGTCTCTGCCCTGGAGCGTTAGTTCTGGTTTTACATTTCCCACCCCTGCATGAATTCTGCAACCCAAGATGTTTAATGTCATTAACATGTTTCCTTAACAGTTGCAAATAGATGCTGTAAGGGGTTATACAGTTCTAGATGCAGTGACCTTGTAGGAGAACAGATCCCCAGGATGTGACCAAGGCTGGAACAGGCCATTTGTGAATCAATGAAGGACCCAGTGACCAATCAGAGCTATTTATTAATAACAAGTATATAATTTTTGCACCCACAAGTGCTTTAATATCTGCATTAATAATGTTCTGCAATGACATTTAATATTGATCTTCCACCATGCTCTCTTCAAGGTTGCATCATCTGAAATTTTCTTCTTTTACTGCATGTTCAGATAGTCTACTAAGATTACAAAACATACAAAGTAACTGTCCCAGGTTGAAAAGCAAGATGCATTCCATTTGCCATCTGTATGGTAGTTGTTTTGTGTTCAGTGGACAGTTTTCCTTATCTGTTCCACAATCAGTCCCCCCTCATGGAAGACATCTGCTGATAATGGGCTATTGAATGTCACTGCATGACTGACAAGAACTAGAACATCCCATTGTGAGATGCTCCACCCAGAGGGAGGAGCCAAGCATTTCTACCTGGATATAATCTTGAGTTTCTGGAACACCTACAGCTTTTCCTGCACTGGATTTCCCAGAGAAACAGCTGCCTGTTCCACTGCAGGAAGACTACACCTTTTTCTACAGGATGACTGCTGCAACAGAACCACACCTGCCACTCCAGGAGGACTGCAGCCATAATTCCCAATTGGACTGATGCCAACACCCTTTCCAACAGGGTGCCAGGTTGTATTCTGACTCTGTCAGTGTTATTTTTGTTTACTACATTGTTTATTTTATTTTTTAATTTTCTTCCCTAATAAAGAGCTGTTATTCCTGTTCCCATATTTTTGCCCAAGAGCCCCCCTTAATTTCAAATTCATAACAACTTGGAGGGAAGGGGTTTACATTTTCCATTTCAGGGGAGGCTCCTGCCTTCCTTAGCAGACCCCTGTCTTTCCAAACCTAGACAGTAACTAAAAGCAATAATATTAATAGAAAAAGCACAATCATGGGTGAAACCATTCAAATCTGATAGAAAACTACCACCATATTTCTCTGAGTAAATAAATCAATATAATTTTATTTTCAATGTCACTACAAGTGGAAGAATTAGCAATTACAAATCTTTCCACCTCCACCACAAAAGTACGGGAAAGAAAGTCTTTGAATAACAGAACATGTAAATATTTAAATAGGTTGTACTCTGTGGGAGGACAAAAAACAAACAGCTGTCCCTCCTCCCAACAGCATTCCTGACATCCCTTCTTTTCCAAGTATTCCTTGTGTATTTATGCAAGGTGAAAGGGAAGCTCTTTAACTCTTTTCCCCTCCAGCTTTCAGTGGCTATTTCTGTGCTGCTGGGCAGCTGCAGGTCCAAGGGCTGCACTGCAGTGACAAACCTGGCAGCTGGGTATTCCCTGGGAATGTGCTCCCTGGAGCCTCAGCCCCGCCTGGACTCCTCTGCCACACACAGCACGGCTCTGACCGAACTGCAGCAGTGCCCACACTCACCCCTCGAGGCACAAAGGCTCCCAGTGCAGGTTCGTGTCTGGAGAACACAAAATACACTGAACAAGAACTCAGCCTTTCACTGCTCCTATTGACTTCTGAGGGGCAACTCCCAAGGCATCATCAAAAAGGAGTGCAAGAGCAGCCACGTGTATTACACAAAAAAATTACAAAGATATGCTCTGGGACATAAAGTTCATTTAAAAGGGAATTGCAGCGCAGGAGATGGCACAGACACATGCCGTGGTTAGTGTTGCTCAGGATGTACAAACTGTTCTGGAAGTGAGGAAATCTCATATTTGTTCTCTGTACCCAACCACCAACAAAAGGTGTCTCTCAGTCCTAACACATATTGACAATTCTGTTTGTTTAGAGCCTAGAGTGAATCTAAATCCTGCTCCAATGTAACAGGACATTTACCAACAACCTGTAAAAGTCATAAATAACCATTGAAATAAAACAGTAAGGTCTGGAAATCTCTATTTGAATTTATTCCTGTAAAATACATAAAATCTTCCAGGACCAGTTCTTCTCAACTGACTTCAGAGGTTTTGCTTCCTGAGGGCAGAGAACACATTTATGAGAAGTCCAAGGCACCATACAATTCATTTGAGTTTTGCATGGTGTGCCCCATCCTTGTTCTCACAGAAGCTCAGAGCTGCAGAAACAGCAGAGGACCCAAGTACTGCCAAACTGACCTCCCACAAGAAGGTAACTCCTGCAGCACCATCGCTGACGTGGAGCAATGTCTGCAGGATCAGAGGTGGCTTTAGGATCCCTGAGCCACTCCCTCACCGGTACCTCCACAGAAACCTCAGATACTACCTCTGCATCACTTGGATTATTTCTTCCTTAGAACTGTCTTCACAAAAATAACCACCAAACCAATCTTACATCCCCACCTCCCCTTTATATGCTGACAAATGCATCTTGCATGTGTTTTTTAAGAAATACAGATCTCGCCTCAGCTTCCAGAGGCAAGAAGGAAAAAGAACGCTTGCACACAAAGTTGCATAGAATAATAAAAACTTTCTGATCTGATTACTCTGCAGCTTGTTTTGAGAAGCAGGTAGTGGGAAAAACCAGTATGTACGTATTTTTCAGGGTTTTTAATACCTTAAAGAACCAGAAAAGATCCCCAAACCTCTCTCCCCCAACAAAGACTACCTATAAAGTTAATTATCCATAAAATAATCCCTTTGAAGCCACATGTATCAACATTTTTAATCCCAAGGTTTTTTTAAAAGCTGTTGGTTAGCAAGGCCTGCAAGGGAGAAATTCTACCTCTGTAACCTGGGTCTTGCCACTAAAGTTAGGAATTCCATTGTATTAAAGCCACTAATACTATCCTGCAAATAGCTCGTGATGTTGAACAGTAACAACAAAGCAGCATTTACATTTCTATCCATGAAGTTTAGACCAAAATTCTGTGTTGGTGGCAGTTCTGGGAAGAAGGCTGAGTTCTATCCAGTCCAACCTCCAAGGCGGAAGGGAACTCTGCCATGGGAAGCCCACGCGTGGCACGGTCCTGTTGGCTGCAGCGCCCAGGTGGGGCTCTAAGGGCTGCTCCTGCACTCCAGGGAACGAGAGATCCCCGGGACAGCAGGGAGACCAGCCGCGCCCACTCCCGCGCAGCACGGGAAACACAATGGATTTGTGTTTTTGTTATTCGAACAAATCCCAACTCTCGCCGCTTACCATCAGGCCTCTCCTACACCACGCAGGTTCCATTCCTAAAGCAGCAGTGATTTAGACAGGTGCTGCCCCCCCCAAACAAGCCCCTGCATCCCGGGAGCTCAAGTACCGCGATGCAGGATCTCGGGTGGGGCTGATGTGTTTTCCCGGAGGACACGGGGCGATGCCCCACAGCATCCCTGCCGGACCCCGCGGTGCCGGGGCGCTCCCTCGGCAGGGGCGGGGGCGAGCGGCACAGGGCCGGGGCGGCAAGGGACGGGAGGGACAGGAGGGACAGGAGGGCGGGGAGCAGGCTCGGGGCAGGCTCGGGAAGGGACGGGAAGGGACGGGAGGGTCGGTAAGGACGGGAGGGCCGGGAAGGACGGGAGGGCCCGGGGCCGGCGGGGCCGGCGGGGCCGCCCGAGGGAGGGGGCGCGAGGCGGCACGAGCGCCACGTGACGCCGGCAGCGCCGCCGGTCACGTGCCCCGGTTTGTTGTGGCGCGGTCACGTGCCGCGGTCACGTGCGGCGGCGCTGCCCGCGGCGGGCGGGGGGGGCCGGGCGCGAGGGGGGCGGCGGCTGCGGCGGCGCCAAGATGGCGGACGGGGACGCTGCGCCGCTCCGCCCGCGCGGCCCCGCCGGCCCCGGCAGCGACGGCGCCGAGCCCGCGGCCAAGCGGCACCGCCGCGGATCGGGGAGCGCCGCGCCCGCCCCGCGCCCCGACCGCGCCGCGGGGCCGCCGCCCGCGCCCCTCGCCGCCGTGCCCGCGGAGCCGCCGGGGGAGACGGCGGCCGCGGGGTTCGATGGCGGCCGGGCGGAGCGGGAGGACGGCGGCGAGGCGGCGGCGGCGCGGAGCGGCGCGGACGGCGGGGCCGGGCTGCGGGGCCTGCCCCGGGCGGAGCCGCCTCCGCGGCGGGATCAGGGGGAGGGCGCGGAGGCGGCGCCCGGCGAAGACGCGGCGGAGGCGGCCCCGGGCTGCGGGCGGGCGCAGTGTTCGAACGGGGCGGCCGCGGTGCCGGCCCCGCATCCCGGTGAGGAGCGACCCCTCCCTTCTCCCCTCCCTCCCCTCCTCCGCGGCTCCCTCCTCCCCGCACAGCGCCGCCCCCGCGTGTCGCAGGGGCGCCGTGTCACCGGCCCGGCCCCGCCGGCCAGGGCAGCGGCTCGGCTCTCAGCCCTGAAAACATCTATTCTGCTGTGTTGCTGGCAGCAAGTTATTAAAAATGAACAAATATAAGCCCGGTTTCCTTTTCGCAATCTCTGCCGCGTTAATTATTTTATTTCTGATCCTTAGAAACTTGCACATAGGCTCAGCAGCAGCAGTCTTGACTAGTTCTTTAAAGAACTGCAAGTGACAGTCTTGGCTAAGGTTTCAGTGACTGCAGCACAAAACTAAGCTAGATCTCAGAGGATACGGGGTGCAGTATCCTCTCTTTTCCTAAAAAGTTTCTTTCAGATATTTACTGGTGGGCAGCATCAGCATCACTGTGAAAGTACCTCACAGTGCACACTGATCAGGTTTGAGTTCTGTTTTGTTTGAGTTGTTAATTTTGGCTTGCCTTTTTTTTTTTTTTTTTAAAGCAGTGCTTTGGAAAGACTTATTAAAATTTATCAGACACTGGATTCTGCCAGTATAGTCTTTACATTTTATCTTGGAATGCCGTTAGAGGTACTTCAACTCTGTAGCAAATGTCTGTGCAAAAGCAGTACAAAAGGAACAGGTATAGAGTAAACCTGGAACAGCCTCAGTATTTAAAATCTCCACTAGAACAGCTGACAGCCAAGCCAATGATCTGTTACTAGTGCCTTACACAAAGCCTTTTGCTCAGGTCCCTCCGAGCCTCAGGTGTTTTGCTGTGGCTGGCTTAGTTCTGGCCTGCATTATCCCCTCTGGTCCTTTGAGGAATACTCAGGGAGTGTTACAGTTTGAACTGTTACTTTATCCTTCTTGTATCTGTCAGCGTTTCCTGAATCCCAGGCCCTATGCCCTGCCTGTGAGGAGCCTTTCACAATGTAAATTTTGCTTCTTGATACAGAAGCCATAAAGGTCGCTCAAGTTAAACTTGTACCTCGCGGTTACTGATGTGTACTAATGCACTTTTTCCTTCTCCAAAATTCTCAATGTTCACTGACTTCATGCATAACATGATGGAACTGAAATGCTGTAAATAAGTAGATTAATAGGAAATAGTAATGTCCATCAGCACCTGTGGCCTCAGAAGAACAAGACAGCAAGGACCAACAACAAATTTCTGTCATTGATCTTTATTTTCTAATCAAAAATAAAGTCAAATCAAAAATTTATGCTAACAAGGAGAAGGACAACACAACCTCTGAATAAAAAATGATGGTGTTTAGTGGTGTTCTTTATTTGAGAATCGAGCGGAATAACAGCTAAAACAGTGCAGGGGGTTCTTCAGTTCTTCAGACGAGAATGAGAACTACGTCAGTGATTCTTTGCTTTACAGAGCATGAGTGAAATTTGTTCTTTGTCCATAGATTTTCAGCAAATGAAGCTACAGGTGCTGAGGCTATTTCTAATGAAGCCAGTAAAAAAGGTTGTTGAGTAGTCTATGTTCTAATAAGCTGCTCAGGCTGGAATTTAGATTTCCCCTTCAACGTGAGCTCAGTAACACAAATTGTTCTTGTTCTGCCCTGGGCTCACTCATCGAGGTCTGAGATGGAGTTAGATTGAGTTACTCTGGCTTAAAGCCACGGGCTGAGCTGAGGTGACTCTGGCACTTTGAGCCAGGCCCAGCTGCAGGGCCAAATGGACGAGAGAAACTTAGTGAAGGTGGTACAGGGGAGCATGTTCTGTGTCACAACTGAAATATCATAAATTGTGTATGTGGTCAGCAATACAGCCGAGCTGCAAGGTAACATCCTCACCAAATCCTGTGAATTTGTTGTAGCAAATGTGCATTTGTGGGTTTCTTTCAAAATGTTGTTAAATGCTCTTAAAACCTAGTCAAAGATCTGTCTGCACTGGTGACATGTTTTCATTTTACCCAGTTTTTGAATGAACTGAATGCAGTGGGAAAGGGAAAGACGTTTTCAGTTATACTTTTAAAACATTTGGATTATTTCTATGGTGAAATACCCATAATGCCCAACACTTTAGAGAACAAGATTTCACCAAGGTCAGCATCCAGTCCCCCTGAAGCCCAGCACTGAGGTGCAAACCCTGCAGTAAATCTACCAACATCTTGGAAGTCCATCTCTAAATGTGAAGAGAAATAGACATTTTCTGTGCCTAAGTGACAAAGCTTCTGACTGTGTGATTTTTGTTTTTGTGATCAGTTTGAAGATGCACTGTGCCCTTGGGCTGGAGTGTAACCCCATGCTCATGCTGTCTTGCAGATAACTTCCTCCTCAGCGAAGAAATCATAGCCAATGGCTTTCACTCCTGTGACAGTGATGAGGAAGACAGAGCCTCCCATGCAAGTTCCAGTGACTGGACCCCAAGGCCACGTATAGGTAAAAGCCTGGAGCATGATCTTGGATGCTCTTTGCCTTTGAACAATCACTCCCTAGTGTTCAAGTTATTTTTCCTGTTGCAAAAATATTGGCAGTTAGTGCCTCTGAACAGCTTAGAGTGTTGACTGTATTCTGTATGTTATTTAAGGAGTTTAAAAATGAACCTTGAAACTTGCTGTATTTTGATTAAAATTGTCAATGTCTTAATTTTTTCTTGAATATAAATCCTGCCACAATTCCTATGAAAAGCATACACACAGGTTCACTAAATTAGACTAATTTATGGCATGTTTCTATAGCTTGCCTACTTAGTATTAATTCTTTAAGGGACAAGAAGATGATCCCTGTATGATTTTAGGACAGTGAGCCCTCATCTCAAGTGTTTCTGGAAAGATTGATTTAATGGCTTGAGGAGGTAATGTCTGAAATAATTTGTGTTAAATGACCAAAAAACCAACAAAAATCATGGATTTCTGGTCTCTATGTGTCTGGTTAGAGTGATGGTTTATAATATCTCTGGAAAATATATGTATGTTTGTTGTTTGTTTGTTGTCAGCTTATTCCTGTAAATACTGAATGTTGGGAAAGTACAGATGGAGGCACATTGTGAAAATCCTGTTGCACCTCTAAAAGAGGTTAACTTTGCTGTGAACTGGGATTTTCACTTGACCGACTTTCTATGAAATCCTTCATGGGTTAACATAAAATAATGATATATAAATAAAATGCCCAGCTCTCACTTTTAGATCAAAATACAGGGGGTTTGATAAATGGAGCATTAAATTGGATTAATGAAACTGTACTAGTAAGGATTAATAAATGGAACAATAACCATGATAATTTGTAGTACCTAACTCTGTTTTAAATATCTGTATTTTTAAATTTTCTTAGGTCCCTACACTTTTGTTCAGCAGCATCTCATGTTAGGTACAGACCCACGGATGATTCTGAAGGACCTGCTACCAGAAACGATCCCCCCACCTGAACTGGATGACATGACTCTGTGGCAAATCGTGATAAACATCCTTTCAGAGCCACCAAAAAGGAAGAAGAGGAAAGATATCAACACCATTGATGATGCTGTGAAACTTTTGCAGGAGTGCAAGAAGATCATGGTCTTGACTGGAGCTGGGGTAGGTATTGCTGCAATGACGGTGTGAAAATGTGGAGCCAGGTTGGTTCAGTACTTCAGTACAGCTTGCAGGGATGGGAACAAGAGGTTGCAAACCCTGCAGTAAATCTGCCAACAGCTGTCGGGGGAAGAGTCCAGTCCACTGCAAGGACTGCAGCTTCCATTGGAAATCACACATCTTTCTTCTCAGAACCAAATATTCTTAGACACAGAAACTTGTAAACAGCTGCTCCCATGCAAAACAGTTTTGGAATAAGAACACATTATCTGTCCAGAACTTTTTCTATCCTAGTCTTTTGTTTTAAAGCAGAATCTCAGTGGATCTCTTAAAATCCCAGATGGAGCTTGAGGGACTGGAAGAAGAGGATTTGAAAAGAGTTGGGGGGGAGGAGGAGGATGATCATAAGGACAGTTTGGTCAGATTTCAGCAGACTGAATGTTACTTTCAGCACGTGGTGCTCTGTGGTGCTGATAAAACTACTCACTCTTTGACTAAAGAACATTTCTGAGCTGCAGCACATTTGCAGCTCTGTACCTGTGCACCAGATCATTTCTTGTTTCTGTTGTTCACACACAGATGGTATGATACGATCCAGATCAGATGAGTAATTCAAATCAGCTTTTAGAAGAGCACTGCTACTCCCAGTCTTGCTCTTTCCATACTTGCACACACCTGTTCCTCTTCCCATGCTATTTTGGGGTAGTCTGAGACAATGATTTCAGTCCTTATTGACTACTACAATGCTTTGATAAGCAGTGTTTATTGATAAACAACTTTTATCAAAAGGGGTTTATTCTTCAGAAGTAAGAATATATTTTTTTAAAAGCAAGACTATTCTGTTAGTGTGTTAGCATGTAAAAAAAATTTAAAATATCAACCAACATTTCTAAGCCTGAGTTGGCAGATCTGTGAACAATTAATAATTAAATTTAATGCAATAATGCTCTAAATTTTTGTTCACATCTTACAAAACTTCCAGTGGTAAAAGCAAGTTCTGGTATCCTGTTACTACCTGTGCAGACTGTACTAAAGGGATTTTGTCCACTTGTCAAATTTTGTTTCTGTGCTGTTTCTCCTGGTTGTGATTTGGGAATTGTTATATGGGACCAAAAAAAAAAAAAAAAAAAAGGAAAAGAAAAATAAATACAGAGAACCCAGACTGGTTTGGTTGTTCTTAATGTTTCTGAGCACTGGGCATACAGAAATGTGTGGTTTCCCAGAGCAACACTTTACAGTCCAATATGTAGTTTCATTTATTTCAGATTGCAATAATATATTTCAGGTTTCAGTGTCTTGTGGAATACCTGACTTTAGATCCAGAGATGGCATCTATGCACGCCTTGCTGTAGACTTCCCAGACCTTCCAGATCCTCAAGCAATGTTTGATATAGAATATTTCAGAAAGGATCCCAGGCCATTTTTTAAGTTTGCAAAGGTATGCTTTTCCAACAGTTCTTGTCTTGGTCAGTAAAGACAGATGACAATATTAAAATGCATAACTCAGATAAAAACTAGAAACTGTTTGGCAACATTCTTTCTCTTTTTAAAATTTACTTTACTGTTCCTGTTGTAAGTTCATGATATAAACAGCAATTTCAGATGGCTGAAAATCTCTCAGTGATATTAAACAGTATCAAAAGCAGTGATTATGTCTCTTAGACAAGAAGGAATTGTAGAAACTGTAGACATATGGAGAAACAAAAAAAAAAAAAACCCAAAGTCCAATTGCATTTAGTCTTCAATTTCCTTCAGACCAAAAAAAAAAAAAATCAAACCCAAGATATAAGAATTTCTACAGGACCAGTAAGGACTTGTGAAAATCAATCACCACAGGTTGTGCTCATTCTTTCTTCCATTTGCTCACAATTCATACTACTGGTCTGTCTTATTACAAAGATTGGAAAAGAAAACCCAATGCATTCTTTTTCTGCTCATCTTTCTCTGAAAGCTTCCTATCCAGATACTAACAAATTTTGATGTTCATTAGTATACTCTGTTCCTTTGGGTTTTAATATTAAAAAAACACCATCCCCACAAACAAAAACCCACCCCAAACCAAAAAACACCACAGCAAGCAAAAAAATCAACTTACTTGAAACCTGTCTACACACAGGTTTTACCAGAAAAGTCCAAATCTGATTTAGCTGATACTTTTTACTTTTCTCCTTTTTCACTCCTCCCCCTCCTATTCTGTTCATCAGAATATGTGTTTCTAGTAACAAATATTAAGATCACTTGACACTTAACAAAGGAGAGAAAGCTTTGCTATTTCATAAGTCTCAAAACCAGAAAAAGATCTAAACATTGCTTTTATGCTGTGTAAAACCAAAACCCCAGGTTGCAGGGAGCAGTTCCTCCTGCCATGCTGAGGAGCTGAGCAGTGGGAAAAGGAGTTGGATGCCAGGGCAGTGGCAAAGGGCACAGGGAGGGACCAGGGTAAGGGGCTCTGGGATGCTGGGGACAGTACCCAGCTCAGGGGGAGACTCTGTATCCACTTCCACTGTCTAATGTGCTTCTGAATTCCCTAGGAAATCTACCCGGGACAGTTCCAGCCATCTCTCTGTCACAGGTTCATCGCTTTGATGGATAAAGAAGGAAAACTCCTCCGCAACTATACTCAGAACATAGACACACTGGAACAGGTTGCAGGAATCCAAAGGATAATACAATGTCATGGTTAGTAGGTTTAGTTTCACTTATTTTCCCTGTGGGAATTCCTACTGGTGCATGTGACAAGGTAATCTCTGTTGGAATGAAACTTTCTTTCCTTGAATTCTTGTCTCTTGCCAACAAATACTCTGATTTTTAAATGGTGAAATTTTGTTTCAGACAGCTTACATTTAAATCAGAAGGGTTTCAAATAGAAATAACTCCTTTCAGGAATTGAGCTCGATAAAGGGTCTGTGTATCAGTGAAGATCCACACCCTGTTGGCATGAGCTTAGACTGTACCTTCTAAAATGCTTTTGGTGCTTCTTGATCTGTGTGAGAACACAGCATGGAAACCAGTCTTGCCATGGGTCCCTCTCACTGCCCATAATGGAATGGGAGTCTCGGTGTTATCTGACTCTTTATGTCACATTACACTGAAATCCTAAAATATCCTGACACCTCAGTGACTCCACCTCAGGTTTAAAACATTGAGCATCAATCACCAGTTCAGTTGAACTGAAGATCATCTTGTAGTGTCATACAGATTCTGTAATTATGAGGCCTAATTAAGTGGAATCGCTTTAATTGCTTGATATGCTTTCCATTTCCAAGGACTTGTATATGTCAAGCTGAAAGTCCAAGTATTAGTTTTCAAAAGAATTTAGAAAGTTAGTTCTTAAATGCATGTTTGGATCATTTAATAAACCTCAGACACATAGATCATCTAAAAGCAGCACTGGCATGTTTGTAAGGTCCATCCAACTAATTGCACGTTTGCCAGGGGCCAAACTCATGTGGTTTCCATACCTACAAAGCTTAGCTCAGTGCCAGATCCGTTTCCAATTTTCATTCTCCTGGCAGAGCAAGCACAGTGCTCTGAGTGGGACCCTAGCAGCATACAGCAGCATCTGCCAGTCAGCTTCCCAGCCCCAGTGCTGGTTTCTGTGCTTAATGTGCCACACATTTTCTTTTGGTTGGCATTTCATCTGAGGCATTTGTTACAAACCTCTTATGTGGCTGGGTTTTTGCACATCACTGCTGTGCTCAAGCTCCCCGTTTTTCCAGTTGCACACTGCAGGGATGAGATCACAAAAAGGTGATGCTGAATGAAACAGATTCTTTAAAAGCATATGCAGTTGGAGATTTTGAGGCCTTTGCAAATTAGCAAAGGTTCTTTTGAGCCCATCAAGCTTTATCTGACCTACTGCTGCTGCTCTTTAACAAATGGTTGTTTCCTAATGATGATGGCTGAAGAAAAACCAAAGCTCTTCTGTGGGGCACAAAATAAATACACTGCTGTATTTATTCTGCTTTTTCCTGTGGCTGGGGCAATGGCAAGTTAATAATGAGTAGTTAACACAGAAACTTGCAGTGATTTGGGGAGTTCTTATGTGAACCTTCAGACCCATCTGTCACTGCAGACCTACAGCACAATTCCTCCTATGAAAACTGTGGTGTCTGAAATGCATTCTGCTGTATTTAAAATGGCTCTTGCATTCAACCAATGCATCTGGAATTAGACTGTATTCCTTTCTGGAGCTGAGTGAGCAGAGGGCGTGGCTTGCTGGCTGGGAATGACATGGACACCAAACTTCTGCTGGTGAAAAGTAATTCACATAATAGAGTTGCAGAGAAGTAGCAGCAGATTCCTCTGAGTTGGGTTTGCAAGCCTGATAGACGTGACCCTGTATGACGCTCTGAATTATTACTATCAGCTAATTAAAGTGAGCAAATAACTGTCATACCTCCCATAGTCCTTGGAATCCCTCACACTGGGGGAGCTGCAGTGCTGAGCAAGGTTTCAGAAGCTGTGTTCTACTTTTTCAGAAGTTTGCAGGCCTGCAGTGATCATCAGAGCTGAGCTGCCAGCTGCTCATAAATTATCTGCTCCAGGTTTTTCTGTGCTTTCACTCTTTGTCTTAGCCAATACAATACCCTGAAAGCATATGGTCTTTATTAATGCATTTCTTAGTTATTTTGTGCTACAGTGTGTGGAGTTGCTGTGGGTTCCTGTGCTGCTGATGCTGTTTGCAGCACCACTGCTGTGTAACAAGAAGGGCAGGTTCTGTTCTCTGCTCCTTGTCTGTGCTTGCACAGGTCAGGGGATCTGAGATGTGAGAGGACACAGGATCGTTTGTGATGACGTGCATGTGGTATATGGCTACTCCTAAAACAAGATTTCTACTCACTAACACCTAGAAGAACAGTAACTTCTAGTATTACAAGGATCTCTTTTTAATTTTACATTACCTTTTTTAATGGCTTGATTTCTGTAGTACTGCAACATAACAGCCTTTTTGTCAAAACACCTTGGGTATAAGACCAAATCTGAATGACTTCAAATCCTGATGCTACCATACGGGTTTTTCCCTTCAGGTTCCTTTGCAACAGCTTCCTGCCTGATCTGTAAATACAAAGTTGATTGTGAAGTTGTTCGAGGAGATATTTTCAATCAGGTAAAAAATTTACTTTAACACACTTTCAGCTTTCTAAGAAGTAATTCTCTCAAAAACACCCCAAACCAAACCCTGAACCCCCATGCTGGGATTGCTTACAAGATCTGCTTTTAAAAGCCTCTAGATCTCTGCATGTATTTCATAAAAGTGCCTCTCTGTATTTTAGTATTTCCTCTGGTATTTAAAAGTATATTCAAATACTGTACTCCAAAATTAGGTAATGGCAAAAATCAGAACAAAACGTTAAGAGCCCATTTTTAATAGCTCCTCTGATAAAAATTAGAGGTTAAATGGTAAGCAGAAAGCTGGATTTATACCTGGTTTGTGTTGATCTGAATTTAGAGTCACACTGAGAAAGCATTCTTAAGCCTTTTATAACATTGGCTACTCTTTGAGCATTTATCTGTATTAAAAATGTGTTTCAAATGCAGCTGATCCATGGAGAAATTGCTAATCACAGAGCAGGCTAGAGCAAGGATCAAATGGGATGTTGGTGTTCCTAGGACTCCTGAACTATTCCATGTTCCAAACTCCCCATTTCTGGGTGAAGTGACCCAGGACCAAGGCAAGAGCTGGTTCTGCTCTGTCAGAGCAGATGAACCTTTGACTTGGAGACCCTATCTACATTTGCTCCTCTCCCCCTTCTTTTGAAGGAACAGAGGTGATGATTCTGTCATCAAAAAAGGTCTTGTTTATGCAAATGAAAGGGGACTCCTGCAGGCTCACTGTTTTTTTTTTGATAAATGCCTCAGAGTTCACAGTTGCAACAGAGTGCACAGATGAGAAACAAGGAAGGGATGTAAATCCTTCAGGCATTACATTTGAAATGGAATTCAGTGAAAGCCTTTCAGAAGAGATGTTTTGAGTTAAAGCTTTAAGAAATGTGACTCTCATAAGCCTGAAGCCTTGTAACACTGAATTAATGAAATTTGGTTTACTCTGCTATTAAGAGTATTATTTTTAAGAAGATTCTAAAGATAATTTTTGTTCCTTTACCTCCAGAGCCACCTGACTGAAGTTAGATTTTCTCTTTCTAATATATAAAGATTTGAGGGAGAAGTTCAAAACTCATTCTAGCCACCTGCTCCTTTTTGGGAAATCTTTTAGTTGGTTTCCCATGACTGTGGGATTATTGGGTGCTTTCTTGCTTCGGTGCAGGATGGTGGTTTCCACCACACCAGTTCCCAGCTCTTGTGCCAAATTGCTTCTTATCCCACAAGGCATCAATCCCGAAAGGTTTTTCTTTGCTCAAACACTTTAATTTTTGGGAAAGATTATCTGACACTAGAAGAAAGCCTTCTACTTGTCTTATTTTCTAATTTGGAAAGTATTGTCTTCTGTCCCACTGCAGGCATCCTAAAAATTAATTTTCATTTAAACTTTCAGTGTGCTGTATTATTTTTTCTGCAGTTGTTCTCTGAATAGTAGGGACTTGTTATGCATTGAAATGTCAGTTTTCAGGTATTTTTTATTCCAATAGGTAATATGCATATCTTTACATCTTTATAGCTCTAATCTGTAGCTTGTGATGGTTTCTATATGATTGCAGCTCCTTGGATTTATTGTGAAGTTTTATATTTTAACACTACAGCTGAAAAGACTTGAACTGTTGTAAGGAAATTGCTCAGTATTGTCTGTGGATCACTCACCTTCTTGCTTTTATTCTCTCTTAAAAAGTCTTTTTGAGTAGAAAAGAGTTGAAAGAAGTCCCAAAGATCAGAAAACTCACTGGCTCAGGAGAAAAGGGAATCTACTTCTCCACAAACCCAACTAGTGACCACTTTGGTTAGTGAAGCAGGATTCTCTCTATTTCTGGAGGAATTAGAAGAGTTTAAAATGGAGACCAAGCAAGTTCTGGCCTCTATTCTTGTCCTGTATGCTCTTAGCCAGTTGCCTGCCCTGCAGCTTTGTGAGCATAACACATGTAACCTTTTGGAGGAGAGGAGAAACTGCAGGTAAAGCTCTACAAAAGACTCTTGGATTAGAACAGTATTTGTATCAGATCCTCAACTGGAACCTGACAGCGAAATCTCAGTTTTTGTTCTGATTAAACTATGAAAAATCTGTTCCTGTCAAATGGAGGTATGCTCAGTTGGTGTTGAGCACAACTGCTGGACTTTGGCTTGTGGTATAGACCTGCCTGGTCTCTCCCTCTTTATTCCTGCTGTAGCTTTGCTGCAGACAGCAGTGAAAAGTGTAGCTGCCTGTACACCCACAGAACAATGAAACGAGGAAATATCACTGCAACTTCCCTGTCTGTGCCAAAATAAGTGTCTGTGAGACATGGAGGTGTGAATTCCTCAGAGGCCAGCCCTGCAGGGCTGTAACAGGGGGTTGTGAGACCTGTGAGTTCCTCAGAGGCCAGCCCTGCAGGGCTGTAACAGGGCTGTTGTGTGCAGGTGGTGCCCCGCTGTCCCTGCTGTCCCCCCGAGGAGCCGCTGGCCATCATGAAGCCGGATATTGTGTTCTTTGGGGAGAACCTGCCTGAGCAGTTCCACCGTGCCATGAAGTACGACAAAAATGAAGTGGATCTCCTCATTGTCATTGGGTCTTCACTCAAAGTAAGACCAGTAGCATTGATCCCAAGTAAGTGACTATCTCTGGTGATACTTTCTTTTAAAAATTTGCATCAGAAGTGGAATTCTCAGTTAAGAAACTCCAGGCTATTAGAAACACCTCTGGCTCAATTTAGTGAGCAGCATGTTTTGTAAGATGAAAGCTGTTTGCCTATGTAAAGCTCAAACGGAAAATTGAGAAAGTAACAAATTCTAAGTGCTTATTCTACATTCCAGGTAGATGTCAAGATAATTAGATGATTATCTGAAAAACTATTGTCTTAAACCTGAATGACTTTGTTTTAAGATTCATTTCTCTCCGTGCTTGCAATATGCTTTAGAAGGTTTGAAGGCTTTAGAAAGGAAGCATCTCAACAGCAGTATATTCCTCACATGCACTTAAGAACCTAAAACAAATGCACAAAATCAACCTAATTTGAAGAGATTACAGTACTAATTTTAATCTTTTTAATACTACTGTACTTTTAATATTACTGTAGCCAGTATTTCTGTGCATAAGTTTCTCAGTGATTGAGGAGTGTTTTTAACTGGAAAAAAAGGGGGAAAAAAACCCATCTAACCAGGCTACAGTAGGCATAGCAGGTGAAACTGCCATTGTTAAATTTGGGACTGGCTTGTCTTCTGCCTGACCTGGATGGTTTTGTCTTGTTGCAAGTGAAGGCATGAAGAGAAGGCGAGCTTTCTCAGCAGGTCCCTGCTGGAAGTAAATCCAAGTGACTACATTTGAATTTTCTTTTCCATCTATAGGTTCCATCCCCCATGAAGTGCCTCAGATCTTAATTAATAGGGAACCTTTGCCTCATCTACACTTCGACGTGGAGCTTCTTGGAGACTGTGATGTCATTATTAATGAATTGTGTCAGAGGTTGGGTAGTGAATACACAAAACTTTGCTACAACTCGGTAAAACTTTCAGAAATCACAGAAAAGCCTCCACGGCCGCACAAGGAGCTCGAAGCGCTCTCAGCTGAGCTCCCACCAACCCCTCTGAACATTTCAGAAGGCTCCAGTTCACCAGAAAGGATGAGCCCAGCCAATTCTGTGGGGGCGTCAGAACATCCACCTGAATGTAAGGTAGAAAACTGTCAGCCTGCCCCAGAAACTAAAGGGACCTGCTCAGAGGAGACGCTTCAGGACACACAGGTGTCATCAGAAAACCCTGAAAATCCTGCTAGTGAGCTAATGAACTCTGAAACAATGAAGGAAAATGTATCTAATGATGGAGAAAATAAAGAAAAGAGTGAAATATTGAAGAAGTGTTGGGTAAACAGATCTGCAAAAGAACAGATTAGCAAAAGGCTGGATGGTAAGTGTTAATGCTTCTCAGTATGTTGCTTCCTTTTGGCTGATACATTTATGCTAGACTTACCTTAAAGTGATAAATAAGTTACTCTCAATCGGTGGGTTTTGGTGGCTATTTTTGTTCAGACAAGTGTCTATATAACTCTCACCGAACCATTTATTTATTTTGGAGAAGCCAGTAGGAGATATTTTTTGTATTTCATAATAGGTTTTAAAATCAGTGATTACATCCTCACCTAAAAGATCAAAGTTTAGAAGGTTGAAGGTAGGTATCAAAAAATAAATTCCTTCATAACATCTTCAAATGTATTTTCAGAAAAGTTAGTTTCATCCTGAGGTGTTCAGAACCTGGTCACAGTAGAGCATGATTTGGTATTGCAGCCGGAATTCAAAGTAATGACAGGACTTAAAAATCTCACAGCTGGAGTGAGGCACATATTTAAGGAAAGTTCAGAGTTTCCAAGGAAGCCTGTGTGTAGTCCTGTAACTGATGTAAGGAGTCAGGAATTAAAGTACAATTTTCCAAAGGAAAGGTTGGGTTTAGGCTTCTGATACTCCATGCAGGGGCTCCCATTCTGTCACAGGTGGAGGAAGTCTAGCTTGGAATGTGTTCCCATAAAACAGCTGCTGAACAATCAGTATAAATTCTCTTTGGCATCATAGGGAGGGGGAGGAGGAACACTGAGCTTTCCAGTGAAGCATTTCTCCTGCCCTTTGTAATAAATACACACACATGGGCAAAAATGCACTTTCATGTCATCTGATTTGTCAGTTAAGTCACTGTTGAGAACAGATCTATTCAGGCACCTTCTAACCACAAGATCTTGCATCAGTCATTTACTTCAGCACGTGACTGACTGTTAAAATTCTGTTCCAGGTACTCAGTATCTGTTTTTGCCACCCAATCGCTATATCTTCCACGGTGCTGAGGTCTACTCGGATTCTGAAGACGATATCATATCTTCCAGCTCTTGTGGCAGCAGCAGTGAGAGCGGCTCGTGCCGCAGTCAGAGCTTAGATGTGGAGGATGAGAGTGAGATGGAGGAGTTTTACAATGGCATAGAGGATGAGGATGCTCCCGAGAGGGAAGAGGAGCCTGGATTCGGGGAGGATGGAGCAGAACAGGAGGAATTGGAAGCTGAGGAATCAGCTGAGACAAATGAAGCTGCAGGGACTGAACATCCGAGCAATGCGCTGTAAAGTGATCACTGACTGGTTACAGGAACTTCCCACCAGCATTAGGAGCTTTGGCATGTCAGAATGAATGTTTACGTCTGAATTTAGAGCAACAAAACCATACGGATGTAGTGTTTTTAAATAACTAAAACAGATTTTCATGCTTAGTTTTTTACCTTTTTCAATAAAAATCTATTACTGCGCACTCAACACTAACTCATCTTTTTTTTAAGGTACTAGGATTATCTAAACAACTGTCACTATGTTCACTTTTAAGTTCATCTGTCTGATCAGACATCCATGTATATAATACATATTTTTCCTTAATAAATTTCAGCTTATATTATTTTTAAACAGTTTTGAAAAAGCCATTGGAATGTTTAACTAATATAAAGGGAACAGCTAATTTAGACCAAAGAATGGTATTTTCACACCTCTTGCTTTGTAACACTTTGGTTTATTTAAAATCTTCTTACACTTCTGCTAAACCTTTCATTCACGCCTAGTCTGTCATTAAACACTGGCATTTTCTAAGACCTACTGTGGCAGCTAATTTTTTTTGCTTTAACAGTTCCTTTGTATGTTTGAGACATATTTAATTGCAAGCAGATAGCGAGATGGAAACAAGACAGCAGCACTTGAGGAATCCAATGGTTTTTTGATGGATCAAGAAGTGCTGTGCAAATGCTAAGGTTGCTGTGTATGACTTGCTGTGGAAATGAAGCGTTGTTGGCGTTGGCTCCTTAGCAGTTAGAATGCAGCATTTTAAACAGAAAGGATCCCCCCAGTCAGAGCCTGTCACGCTGTATCCAGTGGTCACATCTAGAGCAGCTTGCTTTATAAACAGCATCTGAGGAATTGCCAAGGCTCCCGTGTGGAAGCAGAGTTGAGAAGAGTGTTCCTCCCAGCATGTGAGAAGGCACAGAAATGTGCTCACTGATGCACCAAGCCAGAGACTGACTCCAGTGGTGGGAGCCTCCGTTTGTGCTGCCAAGGAGCTCCACGTGGATCAAGGACCTGCTGGCCTGAGCTCCTCATGAGCTGGGAAACCTCCTCCCAGCTGCCAGCTCCATCCTGGAGACAAAAGCGAAGCAGCTTCTCCCCCACTCTGCCGTCTCAAGTGCTAGGCTGCCTTAAAACTGGATGTTGCAAATGGTCAAGTGCAGATTGTTTCCAAGCCTTTAGAACTATTTTGTACAATTGCACAGTGCAGTAGTCAGTGAAACAGCATTTTTCTATAAACCACTTTTTCAACATTGGCCCAAATGAACTCAACGATGTAGATGATTCATATACTTTGCTTTAATATTTATTACATTTTGGAAGATGTATAGTGGCTGTTCTTTGAACATAATACCACAGTTAATAAATATTTAAGAACAGCCTCCTGTATTCATTGGGAAATGTTGGCATGTTGTCTCATTGTCCAAATTTAACACAGCTCTTATTTGGCTACATTAAAGAATGTAATATGTTTAGTTTTCACTTGCATGTCACAATGTATTAGTTTGTGCTATAGGAGATATTTTAAATTGAAATACTTTGTTTTAAATTATTTTTACAGTGAGGATTGGTTTCTGCTCTTTTATATTGTATATAGTGTCTTTTATGTAATCTACTGGCATATGTTTTGTAGAAGACTGTTTAAAATGACTGGCTATCTTCCTGCAACTTTTGAAATACAAAACCAGTGTTTTATACTCGTACACGCTGTTCTAAAGTCTATTAAAATTGTCATTTGATTTCTGGCTTCCATTAATTTCTAGCTATACCTTACAAACTTACCAAAGATGCCCTATAAAGTGAAGGTATACCCTGGCTAATGGAAGGCATTACATATTAAATGGCTTTTTTCCACCTTCCCAAAGGTGGCAAAGCCTGAGTGAAGCTGCCTTGAATTGTTCTGGGTTTATCCTGTGGCTCCCTGGGAGCTGCAGCTGTGCTGAGCACACCCCAGACAGTTTCCAGGGGCCCTCAAGGGCCAGGGCCCAGTTTAATTAGCTTCCCACAGTAACACCTTCCTGTGTGGATGATTCCACTGTTCTTCTGAACCACCACCTCTCAAATAGAAATTGATTTGTATTGGAACAAAAAGTGATAAAACTCGCATGCTTGAGGTCCACAGTATTAAAAACAGACTCAACACACACAGATGTCTTCCTATCAATTACTTAGTACTCTGAAAGACTTGAAAACATTTTTCCCTTGAACAGAACAGCTGCACCTTCTTCTATACTTAGATGAAGAAGTTCTGTATTTTGTTGTTCCTTGTGTCTTTGATAATATTATTTGAACACAAGAGGAACCCCAAACCATCTCTTACTCCTCCATTTCACAAACTGCCCTTTCCCCAGAGCAAGGATGTTGTCTTCCAAGAGTATTTAACACAGTGAAGAGGCAAATGGTGAGCATGAGGAAGCATTTCCTATCACAGCTTTTTGTTATTCCAAAGTACTCAGCACCTTGCATAAAATTTGTCTGGAGGCATGGCAGAGCATGTCCAGGTCCAGCTGTAATCTGTACAATCCCAAAAGAGACACTTACTGTGGTAATACAGATCCTCTGAACAGAGAGAGACATTGCTCTCCCCAGGATTTTCCTGGGAAGTGGTGAGAAGCTGTGAGAAAGCTCAGAGAAAGAATTAAAACAACTATTATCTCAATCTCTGCACCTCTGGCAATCTCTGTCAAACATGTTTACAAGAAGCAGTGGTCCCTTCTTGACCAGTAAGTAAGAAGATTCCTAAAGGCCAATCAGGTCTTAGGTTCCCTATTGTTTCTATAAGAACTGTGGATTTCTAATAATAAAGTGCTTTTTCATGCCTTCTGATGATGCAGTCTCTGTATCACCTTTGTCCTCAATACCCCTTCAGTGACAACTTATTTTTCTGATAATTTACATAACTACACTATGAAAGCATCTTAGCGCTCAGTATTTATATTGAATAGATGTCCTGAAAAAAAAGCAAAGTACAAGCATTTGTGCCACTCACCAATAATCTTAATGCTTAAATACTGAACCAGAACAGTCAAATTGAAAAGCAGTTGGATTTATTTGCACGATAGACTTATCTATAAAGTGACTGAAGAATAAAACTCAGTGCAAAATGCCGAGTTTCAGGCAAAAACAACTGGCCGTGTCTAGGTAGCAATGGCTTCTAAGCTAGATGTAAATCCTTGAGAAGTCATGGAGTTGTACACTGAGTTACTCTTTGCTAGGCACTTTCAAGAAGACACAGACTGTTAGGACTCAGTAGGAAAATAACAGTATTAATGATCCTAATAATGGTGCACCAAGGGAAAACAAGAGCCCAAGAAACCCCAGCCAGGCACACCCAGAGCCTCCACCTGCCCTGCTCGGGGGATGGTGGAAGCAGGTACACCACCACAGGTCTTCAAAGGACTGTTCCTTAAGGGACACAGCCACAGCTGCTCTCTGCACTGTTATTTTTACTCTCACAGAGCAAGAGAAACTGTTTCCCAGCAAACCCCACTCCCATGTGCCCTGGAGCATCCTAGGCTCCCTGCAAGCAGCTCCTGCACCAGGATCGCCCAGGACGAAGCAAACATGTATCAACCGCAAATTAAGTCATTTTGAAAGCCACAAAGAAACACAACCTGGAAGTCCTTAGAAACAAACCACAAACACCTTTTGGTGGGATTTAGTTGTTTAGCCATGGGTTTTTAAACTGTACAATTATTCACCACCCTTTCCCTGGTCTGAAGTCCAAGCCTTGGCTGAGGGGGACCCTCCTTCCCCCCAGCAGGTGGGAGCCTACAGGGAGCTCTGGATGCTCCAGGAGCTCCCAGCACTGGGCTCCACAGAGACCACCCCAGTAATGCTGATTGCTATGGAGAATTTGCCTTAGGACCCTGGAGCATCACTACTCTCATGTTCCAAAAGCTCTGAGCATTCCTTTCTGGGCACTAACAGAAACCAATGCAGGGCCTGACCTCTGCATTAACACCTCGGCCTGCAGGGCTATTCCAGCTACTTCCTCATCTAAAGATACTGCTGGTCTTCCTTACCTCAATTACCCTCCCCCTTTGCTTACTCCTAATGTCACTGGCACCTCGTTAGGACACCTTGCCTCAGACTCCTTAAGATGCTGCACCCCAGAGTCCTCAAACACTGCTGCTAGCAGGAGCACCCACAGAGCCTCTGTGCAGGATTAGGCCACAAAAAATTACATTGAAGAATTTCAAAGGTAAAACCAAAGACATTGCAGGTACAATTCCCACTGGAAGCTGGTGTTCAGCTACAGTCTGCCATCTCTGTTCCTTCTCCCAGATTCGCTGCTGTATTTGCTTGAAAAAGGGAAGGAACCTTGACTTTTGCACTCTACTCAAACGAGGTCTTTGTGCAACATTCATCTCTTGTTTCCTTGTGTAATGAGGCACATGGAGGGAAGCAGTGAGCACCTGCAGACATTTGCTGCACAGGTGAGGTTCATGCTGGTAAGACTAGCCTGGAGCATTGGTGAAATAAAGATCCCCATCAGCACTGTACACACCAACTACAATGAAGTTATTAACCTGGTACTTCCTATGTGGAATGAGATTTCCAAACCTCATTTCCCTAATCTGAAACTGATGTGCATTTGGCTGGAGAAAAATAATAATGCCAAGTGCTGTCCTAGCTAAATGTAAGGGGGCTCTGATGACACTCATGGCACCTGCCATAGCTTATTTTGTCAAGTCAATAGTTATGTTCAAACCCAGGGGATATGCAGGAACTCAGACTGCTTATACCAGCAGGGCTGTAGATAAGGTAATTTCAGTGTGCCTGTTACTGCCAGTGCTCCCTCCCCCCGCAGCTGCCTTGTGGTTAGATAACACATCTTTCTCGTTCAACACTTCTTGCAGAATGGGCAGGCAAAGGTTTGCAGTTACAAAGTTTCAGCATTCTCACAGAAAGGAAGTCAGTGTAAGAGGCACAGAGAAAAATTATGTGTATAGGCACAAAGTGGCTTCCTTCGCCAGGAAAATAAAAAAAGCTGAGGACTCGGTCACATGGTCAGAGAACTCATGAGTACAGAAATGATGGCTGGTGGAGTTCCTTCATTCATTAATTATGCACACAGAGCAGGCAAGGGCATTTTCTGGGGCTCTAAGGTGCTGTATTAATCTGGTGACAGCAAGTGGCAGAAGATGCTCTACACCCTTCAAGGTCTAGCTAAGGTTTTTGAAGTCATTGCCCCAGATTTGACCAACACAAACACCAACAGTAGACTGAAGGACCAAAACAGTAGGGCTGATAATTAGTGCACATAAACCCCACTCTGACCTGGCAAGTTAGAAATATTCACTTGGTCAGCAATGGGATCCTAGCACTTGTCAGGGGAAACAAATATTTTGGTTTTCTTCTTCTATCTTCTCCCCTTCAAAAGCTGAGTAAGGCAATTCCTCACAGTATATACACGTACATAGATCTGGTTGCACACAGAAGGTCAACACAGCCACTCTTGAGGGGTTCAACTCTCTACCAGTGCTGAAAACTGTACTGTTAAATGAAAGCTTTTATCTACTTTCATCTCAACTGCAGAACCTCATGTGCCTTTAAGGAGCTCTCTTTTAGAGTGATTTACATTTGATTACATTAAGTTTCATTTATTATCCAGTTTATTGCAGCAGAGAGCACTGCAGTGAATTAAAACCCTCTTCAGAGTAGTTTATAAACATTTTTAAAGGGAATACCATGGCTTGAAGCTCTATGATCAGTAACAACCCCCTTAATAGCAACTCCCACAAACTGTCAAAGGAGACAAATCATTATGCTTAAGCAGGGCTCACTGCTTTAACAGCTCTACAATGTGTTCTTACCTTTGCCCTAGAAAATGAGGGACAAACATCTGCTGTACTTGTAGTTCAAATAGTCTGGATAGTTCTGCCATGCAAATTCAATTTTCATCCCTATACTAATGTGAAAAGTGCAATAAATCCAGTCCATGACTGTACTGCTCTGGCAATAGCAAGTCTCCTTCAGTAGTCATGATGACAAGTCTGACATGCATCTGATCTCCTCCAGTGAGAATTCTGAATCTTTATTAAATGTTAATTTAATTCCCAAATAAAAATACTTTAAAAATTAATTATTGTAAAAAGCTCACACTAAAGCCCAAACTACTGTGATTCCCCAGTTGTTTGCATTACCCTTTTAAACAGTGGTGCCCAAGGTTTCCAGAGTAACTGAAAGTTTGAGGCAAAGGAAAGCTCTAGGCTTTCTTCACTAACATCATAGCTATTCCAGCTACATACAGAATGGGGCTTTCCCCCCTTTTTTACATGCTGCACAGCATCAAATATTGTATGGAAAATGATCCTTGAACCAAGCAAGAGAAAGCACTTCCTGCTGCCCTGCTCCTCTGGGCACAACTTCAGCAGAGCTGCTTCCCTGGGCTGCTGTGACTGTCAAGTGAACTGAGGGCAACACGAGCACTGCAGAAAGCCTAGAACTGCCTGACACAAGTGATGCCATGACTGTTCATTGCTCTGGGCTCACACAGAAGTCCTTTACCTTGTTACACAGACAACTGTTTCAACTGGAGGCTGCCTCTCTGCAAAGAGTGAACTAACACCTGTTAGATAATCAGGAGCATTTAGCACTGTAGAACCCAACCCCATTTCCTGCAGAAGTGAGTAAAACCAAGGCCAGAGCTGCAGGGAATTCCCAGATGAATGCTGTCCTGAGGAAAGTGGCTCTAGCCCTGCTCTGCCAGTGGCTCTGAAGGTGATCTTAAACC